GGCAGAACTGATGAAGCCTCTTGGATGAGAGGTGAAACGTCTTCGACCTAAAACCTAGTCCAGTTGATTTTTTTTTTCTACGTTTTTTCAGCTTACTATGACCTGGATGACTGAGAATCTGCACGGATGTGTTGCTACCAATATACATACTTTTTTGCATAACGGTATCTATTTGGTAATAATTTGAATATGTTAGGTTAACGTGCAGTTTTTGTGAAATCAGTCCCCTCATTAAAATGCACATTTATGCATATTCCTACCAGACCATCTACTCTATAAGTAGAGTTTCTGCTATGAATTGTTCTAGACTTACTGTGTTCAAGAGCATGTTTATTGCAGAGTCACAGACAGCAGCATGAACATACAGTAATGTCCCATCTAGGCTACTGTAGTAACGGGACATTAAAAGGCATTATGAAATAAAAACATACTTTTGAAGAATAGCAAAATATAAAAATATTCTGAGTGTTATGCTTGAAAAGACGCATAACTCAGTCTTGGCACTGCTGATCTTTTAGAGATGCGCAGCAACAACACATAAAATGGACACTGGGTTAGAATGGTTTACATCAGGAAAGACTGAAGTGTTGATAAGAGCTGACGATTATTGCAGTCCCACAGACAAGCACACGAAACTTGTACCCCAACCTGCCGTACCAAAGTCAGTGGTGTTAACCACTGAGCTATGCCACTCGTTCGATAAGCACGCATTTAGAACAAGGAAAAGGGGAAGCTTGGTTTGGCCCTGCTAAGGGCCCACTCTGGATATTGACCGCACCCTGACAAGGAATCGAACCTGGTCCTGCCGTACCAAATACAGTGGTGTTAACCACCAAGCTATCCGTGTGATTGTTTGTTTTCTTTTTGTGATGCTGCCCTTTTCTCAGAATTACTATAACTAATTATTTTAGTTATGACCCAAGTTATGCTAAACTGGAGTTGTCCTTTGAAGATCAAATGTTATTATTGTACTGTATATATAAGGCACCAATGTGGTCTGTCTACCATGCAGGCAGCAGTGAGGCTGCTCATCAAACTGAGTCCAGGGCTCAGTTCCAGCCTGGGGCTACATACTGCCAGGGTAGAGTGGAGACCAAGGAGTCAGATGGGGGTCAGTTTCCCAGCCATCCGGGGAGGCTGGGACCTGAGACCTCCTCTGAGGGCGCCCATCTGATGTCTAATCCTCAGGAAATACAGGCAGGTTTCACCCCCTACTTTAACCCCTCCCATCGCTTTCCCTCCATCCCACCTTCTATCCCACCACCTCCCCCCTGCCTCTTCTTGCAAGCAGAAAAGCTCCGTAAATTCAAAGCATCTGTATGAGCAAGGGCCAATCTAAGGGTTGCCTTTCCCAGAACCTGCACAGATGAAATTTTATTATTTGCACGAAAAAATTACAGGGGGAGGAGGAGAAAAAACATAAAATAAAGTAAAGCAAACAGTGGGAGAAGATCAAGAAGGAGAGGGGTAAGGAACTGGTCATCAGAGATCTACCCAGCTTTCCAATGTGTTCACAAGAAAGAAGTAATATTATGTTCTTTATGGCTGCAAGTCGTGACCGGAGCCTGATAACAGCAATAGTCTGCTGCCATCTGTTACTGGTTTCTGACTCCCA